TATTGCTAATTTACATTTCCAGGCTAGGGACAGAAATAGCACATCAACCTAGCTAACAACTAAGTCAGCCACAACAAAAAATTAAATCAAGGGAAAGAAAATAGGGAATTAAAACTAGCCAATTAAGAATATAGTTGCACAGCACCAATTGGAGCAAAGGGAAAAAGAAGAAGGGAAAGAAACTATACTCCTCAGGGGAAAAAAAAAACACAATTTCAATAGAAGATTTAATGGGAAACAAAGAAAATGAATACCCAGTTCCTGACCCCCAAAAAACAATGATAAATGTCACTAATGACTCCCACAAAAAAAAAATCCCTCAAAGAAGAAATCATGGAAGAGATCACAGAGAAATTCATGGAGAAGCTACAGGACATAGTTAACGAGAAAGTACAAGATGCACTAAAGAAATTTCAAGACACCACAAATAAAAAACTTGAGATGACACAGAAACAACTAAATGAATTCAGAGAGGACTTCAACAAACACCAAGGTGAAATAAAGGAGACTATTAAAGAAATATGAAATAAAGAAGACAACACATGAAAGAGGAGTTCAGCAAAGATATGGAAAACCTCAGAAAAAAGAATCAAACAGAAATCCTGGAAATAAAAGTCCCTTAGTCAAATAAAAAACACAGTGGAAAGCCACTCTAGCAGGGTAGAACAAGTGGAAGTCAGAATCTCAGAGCTCAAAGATAAAATATGCATTAAAGAAAAAAACAAAAGAACTCTTATTCAAACAACACAAGAGTTGTGAAAGGAATATGTAAGAACTCAGTGACTCCATCAAAAGACCAAACCTGAGACTCATGGGCAATGAAGGAGAAGTGGTGCAAGTCAAAAGGATACGTAATATATTCAACAAAATAATAACAGAAAATTTCCCAAATTTCTAGAAACAATTGCTCATTCAGGTACAAGAATCCTCCAGGACACCAAAGAGAATTGAACAAAATAGAACCTCTTTAATGATAATACTACCATTAAACAACTAGCACAGAAACAGAGAAAGAATATTGAAGGGTGTAAGAGAGAAAAACAAATAACTTACAAAGGTAAGCTCATCAAAATAACAGCACATTTCTCAACAGAAACTTTAAAAGCACGAAGGGCATTGAATAAGGTATTTTAGGCACTGAAAGAAAATAATTTCAGCCCTAGGATACTCTACCCAGAAAAACTATCATTCAAAATTGATGGAGCAATAAAAATCTTCCACAATAAACAGAAACTAAAATAATATATGACTGCCAAGCCACCAATACAGAAGATTCTATAGGAAATTCTGCACACAGAAGATGAAAGCAAACAAGAGGATGGGAAGTACTGAACCACAGGAGAAGAAAGGACAAGTATTGTTCTCAGACAGTAGTACTGATTTGGCTTCACACACTCAAACCCTTAAACAAAAAAAAAATGGCAGGAATCACCAAACATCTATCATTATTAACATTGAATGTTCATGGACTCAAAAGCCCCCATCAAAAGACACTGTTTGGCCAACTGGATAAAAAAGGAAGATCTGAACTTACATTAGTCAAACAAGACAAAGAAGGTCACATCATACTAACAAAGGGGCCAATACATCAAAAGGAAATAACAATTATTAACCTATATGCACCCAATGTCAGTGCACCCAACTTCATCAAACATACACTAAAGGACTTAAAAGCACATATAGACTCCAACACAGTGGTAGTGGGAGACTTTAGTACCCTCCTATTACCAATACATAGTTCATCCAGATAAAAATTCAACAAAGAAATCCTAGAACTAAATGACACCATAGATCAAATGGACCCACCATGACCAAGTAAGTTTTCATCCCACAGATGCATGGATGGTTCAACATAAGCAAATCACAAAATGTTATACAGCACATTAACAGAAGCAAGAACAAAGACCACTTCATCATCTCAATAGATGTAGAAAAAGGCTTCAATAAAATTCAACACCATTTCATGATAAAAGCTCTGAGGAAACTAGGAACAGAAGGAATGTACCTCAACATTATAAAGGCTATATATGACAAAACGATAGCCAATGTCATACTTAATGGGGAAGATCTGAAACTATTTCCCCTAAAGTCAGGAACAAGACAAGGGTGCCCACTCCTCCAATTTCCTACTCAACATAGTCCTGGAATTCCAACCTAGACCAATAAGGCAAGAAGAAGAAATAAAAGGAATATAAATAGGTAAAGAAGTAGTCAAACTATCCCTATTCACAGATGACATGCTCTTATACCTTAAAGACCCAAAAACTCCTAGATACTATAAACAGCTTAAGCATAGTAGCAGGATACAAAATCAACGTCAGTAGCCTTTCTATACACCAACACTGAACAAATTGAGAAAGAATATAGGAAAACAATTCCATTTACAATAACCTCAAAAAAAATCAAATACCTAGAAATAAACTTAACAAAGGATGCAAATGACCTCTACAAGGAGAACTACAAACCACTGAAGAAAGAGATTGAAGACTACAGAAGGTGGAAAGATCTCCCATGCTTATGGATTTGCAGAATCAACATAGTAAAAATGGTTGTACTACCAAAAGTAATGTACAAGTTCAATGCAATTCTCATCGAAATCTGAATGACATTCATCACAGAGATTGAAAAATCTGCCCTAAACTTCATTTACAAAGACAAAGAACCACCAAGAGCCAAGGCAAAACTGAGGAAAAAGAGCAATGCTGAAGGTATCACAATACCTGACTTCAAACTATATTATAGAGCCACAGCAATAAAAACAGCATGGTGCTGGCACAAAAACAGACATAAAGACCAGTGGAAAGAATAGAGGACCCAGATATGAATCCACACAACCACACTCACCTAATCTTCGACAAAGGTGCCAAAAATATACGGTGCAGAAAACTTAAGCCTCCTCAACAAATGTTGCTGGGAAAAGTGGTTATCTGCCTGCAGAAAACTAAAACTAGACCCATGCCTGTCACCCTGTACTAATATCAACTCAAAGTGGATTCAGGACCTTAATATCAGATCTGAAACCTTGAGGTTAGTATAGGAAAGAGCAAGGAATACACTGGAAGCAGTAGGCATAGGCAAGGACTCCACCAGTGGAACTCAAGTGGCTCAGCAACTAAGAGAAAGGATTGACAAATGGGACTACATGAAATTAAAAAGCTTCTGCACAACAAAAGAAGTGATCTCTAAATTGAAGTGGCCTCCCACAGAAGGGGAGAAAATCTTTGCTAGCTATACATCAAAAAGTGACTGATAACCAGAATACACAAGTAGCTCAAAAAAACTAAACTCCCCCAAAATCAATGACCCAATAAAGAAATGGGCAACTGAACTAAACAGAACTTTTTCAAAGGAAGAAGTCCAAATGGCTAAAAAACACATGAAAAAATGCTCACCACCCCTGGGCATAAAGGAAATGCAAATCAAAACCACATTAAGATTCCACCTTACTCCTGTTAGAATAGATACCATCCAGAACACCACCACCAACAAATGTTGACAAGGATGTGGGGAGAAAGGAACTCTCATACACTGCTAGTGGGAATGTAAGCTAGTGAATCACTTTGGAAAACAATATGGAGGCTTCTTTAAAAACTAAAAATAGATCTGCAATACGATTCAGCAATACGATATGCACTTCTAGGGATAGACTGAAGGAATGCAATTCAGGTTACTACAAAGGCACCTACACATCCATGTTTATTGCAGCACTATTCACAATAGTCAAGCTATGGAAACAGCCAAGATGTCCCACTGCTGATGAACGGATTAAGAAAATGTGGCACTTATATACAATGGAATTTTATTCAGCCACAAAAAAGAATGAAATTTTGTCACTCGCAAGTACATGAATGGAACTGGAGAACATCATCTTAAGCGAAGTTAGTCAAGCTCAGAAGGTCAAAAATCACATGTTCTCCCTCATATATGGGTTATAGACCTAAAACAAATGCAGTAATATTATTGGACACAGGTCCCACACTAAGGTGAGACCATGCACAGGAGGGATGGGGCAGGGGAAGGAGACCAAAAACTTGAATGTGGTTGATGTTCTCACTGTACAGGAATGAATATAGTCATCTTAAAGTGGCCAAGGCTACTATAGGAAGGGGACTAGGAAGTAGTGAAGAGGTCCGGTAGAGATGAACTAATATGGGTTGTAATACACATATGCATGTAAACACAAAGAATCTCCCTGTATAGCTATCTTTATCTCAAACTAGCAAAAATTGCATGTTTTTCTTATTATCTTTTATGTTTTTTTCTCCCACAAAATCAGAGAACAAGAGGGCAGAACAGGTTCTGCTGGAGGTGGGGTTGTGTGTGGCAAAATAATGTATACATGTGAAAGTAAACATAAAAACAATAAAACAAAATAATATATGAAAATTTTGTTTCATGTGTAAATTGTGCACCCTTTTTGATTTTTAACAAAAATATACATACGCATTATAGTCTAAAAAAAAACTCTGTAAACTTAAACATACACTTCTAGATGCAGAGTTTATCCCATTACCTTATATCCTCAATGACGCAACATGAACCTTAATATATAATTAAATTTTAGAGAACAGAGTATTTAAGTAAAATGTTAAACTCAAAAAACACACTGATGCTTTCCAGTGTCTTGTTGCACACACAATTATCATTAATTATCTAATCGGTCTTCTTGCCTTAAGCTTATTTAATTCTTTTTTTTTTCTTTTATTATTCATATGTGTGCTTATTTAATTCTGAATGAAATACAATTAAGACGTATTAGAAGGTAAACAAGGTCAATAATCTGCCACCCTTCCTGCCAATTCAATGAATGACGAACATTAGGAACCTTTGGGACACTGGGAAAAACTCATCGTCTACACTTTAACAAAGCATATGAAAAATTAAGATGTATTAACTTAGGAAAAACTGTTTTTATACCAAGTAGCAGTATTAAAACTAAGTAAATACAAATAACACCAGGTTTAAAACAGAACTTAAAATAGAGGGAAATATATCCTTACCCTATTGGGAAATCAACATCATCACCATGAGCTGTCATATGATAAAGTCCAAATTTAGCCAATTTAATATGTCCCTAAAATAATAAAGGAGAAAACCACCATGAAATATTTTAATACAACTAACAAAGAAAGTAATCATTGTATGTTTTATAAATAACTATTATTCAATTATACTATTTTATGAAAATACTACTTAATATTTTATAAAATACTATACTTTTATCCAAAATTATTTGCCAATATTTAGTTGGCCTTACACTCATACAGACATAGGTATACATACTTGGAAGCATTTTTCCTTAAAATTTTTGCTGTCTATACTATGCAGGCTTTTCGATAAAGATAAAAAGGCAAAAATGCTCCGATTTGTCTTGGATCCTTGATTAGAATGTTTTGCAGTAGTTACAGAGGAATTGTTTTTTCATAGAGTTGCAAGTTCATGCATGTTATTATACTTTAACTGTGACATAGGAATTATTAATTTGAAAAGTTCAGCTCAAAAATCATCAGGATTTTGGTAAATCTGCTACATTTCCAATAAGCTTGTATATTGTTTAAAAATAATATTTACCACAAGTATAAGGTTCTTAGTAAAAGTAAAACACAAATTTTGTGCCTGTTAAAATTTTAACACCTTTTAGGTGTTTAAGGTTTAAAAAACAGTTGATCATTAAATTTGTTTATAATCTTCTCATGAACTTTATTTCTCAGAATTATGTTTTAAAACAATGTAGATTGGTATGGCAATGATGCTTTACTGCAATGAAGTTGGAATTAATGAATGCCATTTTTCTCTTTTGTGACATTTAATACCATATAATTACTGTATTGAATTGAAATTCATCAAATAATTATATGAAAATAATTCCAAAGAGAAAACTTCCCTAAAGCTATTATTGTGTGCTTATGAAAATATGATTACTACTGAAAATATACCACTCTGCTGTCCATAATTCTTTTAGGAGGATTTACTTCTTTATTATCCTCTATAAGATTTTCAAGTAGCGAAGTAGCAATGCAACAGAAAAGAAAGCTAGGTATAAGAATCTAGTAAATAAAAAATGAAACAGGAATGAAGAAAGAAGGAAAATAAGGAGAGGAAAACTCATTGAAGCTGTACTTATGAGAATGTGATAGTCTATATACGTTATCAGAGCTGCTTTCTTAAAACAAAAGCAAATTGAGAGAGGAATGGTTGGAAAGCAAAAAGACATAAGCTTTAGAAAAAAAAATGAAAGGGAAGAAATAAAACATGAAGTTAGAAAATGAGTTTTGAGGAGGAGGGATAACCCATGTGAAAGGCATATATAGCTAAATAATTTAACGACTGTTTTTCCAGCAACCACAAATAGATCACTTTCATACAGTCCTTTTATTTTAAATATTCTTAAAACACATTCTTTTTCTATGGTCATTCTGATTAACAGAGTGGGCCTGATTTCAGGGGTTTTCAATTTCAAGGAACATACAAATATCTATTATTATTTGCAAATTACCTTTTGGTCCAGCAAGATATTATGAGGAGACAGTGCCCGGTGTACTATACCATGTTTGTTCATATACTGCAAGCCCTGAAGTACCTCAAATGCTATGCATAAAACCTTGGAATAGCTACAAAGAAAACAGTCAAAGATCAATATCAAAGCAAATACAAAGAACCTGTATTAAAGACTAAAATGAGGCCTAATGAAAACATTCAAAGGTATTATTTTTATTGTACCTTTTCTATTCAAGGAAAGTAGAAGCTATATGTTTTCTAAAATGTATACCTGTACATATGTCGGATTTTTATTGTAGCAGAATTGATATGACAAAAAATTCTTAAGTTCCCCAAGGGATACTCTAAAAGCAGTATATGTTCTTCCTAGAAAATGACTTGAATTTGGATGATGGTTATTATTTACAGGAAGATACAACTGACATCTAATTGGCTTGGCTTTACTACATTATCAAGAAAGTTTCAGATATTTGTCAGAACCATGTCAATGAAAACCATTTATTCTGCCAAAAACAAAATACCCAAGTCCCTGAAAAATACATAGAATATATTTATGGCAATGGAAATTAGCTTAATTTCCATATCAAGTCATAAAGCAACCTTTGGTAATTTGTGATTTGTCAAACATGTCTCTAATTCTTATCCTACCTTTTCAAAGCCATCCTCCACCACAAATAACCACTTTCTTTGTATTTTTCCTACCTTTCTTTCTCTTATTGTCCCCCCACCCCATAGTTTCTTTAATAAAAAAAAAAATCATTCACGAGGGCTGGAGGCATGCTTCAAGTAGTAGAGAACAACCTGCCTAGCAAGCACAAAGCTCTGAGCTTAAACCCCAATACTGCCAAAAAAATAAAAAAATCATTCATGTAGGAAGTTAGGAATAATACACAGAAAAGTGGAAAAAACTCACTCATTCAAACATAACCTCTCAAACTACCAATGCTAACATTTTGGTACAGATTAATTTTCTAGTCATTTTTTTATTTTTAGAATGAAATTAATAGTAGTTGTATGTAGGCAACTACTACATATAAATTTTTAAATAGCTATAAACATTAAGGCCATAGTAGAGATTAAATGAAATCATAAAGAAATCTACAAGCAGGCAAAATAAAAAGGGAAAATACAAAACACAATAAATAAAAAGCAAACAATAGATTTTAATCTAGTTGTAGCAATAATTATACTAATTACTGTAAACTAACTAATTTAAAGGTAAGGACTATCAGATTTGATCAGAATTAAGGCTCTAGTATATTCTAGTCTATGAGAAATTCTCACTAAAGAAAAGATATGAGTTATAGGAAAAGGATGGAATAACTGATCAGTGACTAGCATGAACTTGGTGTACTACAAAGACATAAGAGGAAATTTTTTGGATTGATTGAATTGTACCATTGCTAATTTTGATGATGGTTACATGACTTTGCTTATCAAGCTAATTTAAAGGGTAAATTTTAAGGTATGCAATTTATGCTTCAATAAAACTTACTTTAAAAATACTGAGTTGAACAAATTTTCTTTAAAAAAACAATTATTGTAACCTGACTCTCTCCCCTATACTAAAACTATAAGAAAGAAGCAGAGATGAAAAGTTAAGCTCTTTCTTCTCTCACCCTAGTGTGACCTTTCAGAGGTAATCTTACTTAACAGTTGCTGTTTCCAGTTCTTCTGGGGGTTAGGCTTTTATTTAATAACTCTGTTCTATGCAAATGATATTGTTAACATGCCTTTACAATTTTCAAATTTTTCCCAAATTCCTGACTTTTATTATTTTTACACTATCAAATTGTAAGTGGGATAAAAGAAATGTACATTCCTTCCTTGAGGGCAAAAAAATAAACAAGTAACACTAACATATACTGATTAAGTGCTAAGGAAACAAAGTAGGACAGATATATAGTGTTGCCAGGAAAAGCCTCACTGAGGACACATTTTATAGAAAGCTAAATGAACTGAGAGAGACATGTAACTCTCTGGGGAATATATGATGCAAGCAGAGGGCCTAGCATGCATGCCTGAGCTGGAAGAATCTCAGCAACTCAACAAAAGCAGAGTGAGGCCACTGTCTCTGCAACAGAATGAACAAAAGGTAAAGAACTAGGAGATGAGGTCAGAAGTTAGCAAGTAGTTACATTGTATAAGGCCTTTGGCTTTTACTCTGAGAGAAGTGGTAAGTGATTGGCAATTGTCAGGTGATGACTAACAAATATTCACTATAAAACTGTGCAGAAAAACAAATATAAACTTAGGCCTCTTATAAACCATAACTCTCAAGAGAGAGAAAATTAGAGTTTTCAGAATTTAACACATGTATCATTTTATAATTAGAACTCTATTTATGAAGATTATCATGAGTTAACATAATTTTTATATTACATATGTTTTTTATTTAGTTAAAATACATCCTTGAGAAATTTTTCATAAGAGCACGAGTAAGAAATTTTAGAGCATAACATGTCTGAAAATGTCTTATTCTTGTCCTTAAACTTAGAATTACTTCATTGTCTTATAGCATCCTTTATTAGAGGTTAGAAGTCTAGTATCAATCTGATTACGATTTTGTTGTAGACACCGTGTTATTCCCCATTGGAAGTTTTAAAGGCACTTTTTTTGTTTACTAATCCTTAGTTACAAGATTTCATTTGTGCTAGTCAGTTTATTTGGAAGATTTAAATCCCCCATTTATATAGAAATATTAACAAGGAAAAGCTGATTTATGTCTTTATTTTCTCTATCTTTTTTCATTATTATTGTTTTACTTGTGGTACAATGTGACATTTACAAAAGTTCTTACAGTATATCACAATTGAATTCATCCCCTCCATCATTTTCCTTTACCCTCCCCCCACAATTCCTGCAACAGTTTCAACATGTCTCATTTTTTAATTTACATATATGCATACATAATATCTCCACCACATCCACCCTCCTAGACCATTTTCTTATATCCTCCCTGCTTCCACTGGTACCAATCTCCCAGACAGGATCTGTTTTTGCCTTCCTGTTCTCTGTTTTAGTAAAAAAAATGAAATTTTTGTTTGTTTGTATACAGGGTGTTTCATTGTGACATTTCTATGTATATATGTTTTATAACCCATATTGGTTCATCTCTATTTTTCTCCTTTCTAACTTAGTCCCCTTCTTATAGTGGTTTCATCAACCAAATTCACCTTCTTAACTTCCTTCTTTTATCCTCCCTCTCTCATTTTCGACCTCTCCTTAGTGTGAGCTATTTTTCATAATATTGCTTATATTTGTATTGGATCTATAGTCCAAATATTTTCTCTCTTTAAGTTGGAGCTCTTAGTGGACAGATGAATATTGAAACTATTTCCTAAATCAACTTTCTTTTTTACTTTTAAATGGTCTTTAGCCCTATGTAGTATTTAATTCAAGGACTTTTCTTCTAAGGGGAGGAGGAAGGAAGGAGGGAGGAAGAAAGAAGAAAGAGAGAAGAACAAGAAGGGGGAACGGGAAGGAGAGAAGAGATAGAAAACAGATAGATCAATTGATTGATCTTCAAGTCTTTCCTTCTCAACCCCTGAGGAGAGGATGAACAGATAGATGACAAATAGGTAGGTAGATAGGAGAGAAGAGATAAAGCTTCACTTTTCTGTTCTCAGAAATCTAGTTGTCAGTCATATTTTTGAAGAAAAAGAATAAGATGTTATTTCCCATGATGTATGTAAAAGAAAAACAATGAAGGTTACTATTTATAAAGAACACTATTTAAATTGATGTGTAAACTCTTCCTCTTTTTCAAATAGTTTCTCACATGTTAAAGTGCCACATAAGTCAGTCATATATGTCAGTTTCGCAAACAGGGAATGTGTGAAACCAGAACAATTTAGGATAAACAGAATTTTCATAAATATCTTCAAAAGTAAATCAATGGTATTAATAGCAAGACTCTAAATTTTAAAATAAAATTCAATTACTATTAGTTTCAGAGGTAAAGATTTTGTGTCAAAGCACAACTATATTAGTATACGTACAGGAAAGGATGTAAGCTTTAGAAAAGAAAAGAAAAACCTTCCTTGGGATTGATTAACAAAATATAAACCTAATTTTATGAGCTCATGTATCTCTACCAGGCAACTTTAAAGTAAATCTCTTACTATTCTTGTTTTCTGTCTCTGTCTCTGTCTCTGACACACACACACACACTCTTTCACAGTATTTTAAAAACTAATGCAATATTCAGTTGTGACACTAGAGGTCCTCAGCTGCATAGGACTTCAGTATAGCCTTTCTCATGGAATTAGAACAAAACCTTTAAAGTGATTTTTCATTAAACCAATTTTGATATTGCTCAATACAAAAGACTGCATGGTCTACTTTCTATACTATGCTTTTACTAATAAATTATGAGATATTAAACATTAGTCTTGCATTATCAAAAAGCACATTCATATTAAAAATGAGTTGATAAATACATACCAAAATAGTTTTAATTCACATACTTTAAAAACTGGTTTATGACAGACTCTTCCTTAGCAATTACTTGGCAGTAGGTGTGAACTACAGTTAATGACCTCAGTACTCTTTGGTTTAAGCCAGATAGTTAACCATTTTCTGTCCTTCTGTACCTCAGTATTTAATTTTAGAACTTATTTAAAAATATAAAGCAGGGCTAGCAGAGTGGCTGAAGCAGTAAGAGCACCTGCCCTAGCAAGCATGAGACCCTGAGTTCAAACCCATTGTCACCCCAATGTGTGTGTTTGTATGTGTTTATGTGTGTGTGTACATGCGTGTGTAGTATATATGTAAAGTAAAAATAAGATAAATTAATGTTATTTTATATAATGAAAGACAAAAAAGGAATTGGTAGTTGTGGAATTTTGTATACTTAGCTGTTTTAAATCAGTATGCAAAACTATATGTATTCTCTCATTCTGTCTTTTATTCACTGAAGAAAAAAACAGGAATAAATCAGGTAATATAGGCAATAGGATAATCTTGTCAATATATGGCTAAAATTATGAATTAGAATAAGTTGTTAGGAGAGATTTCTGTAGGCTTCGAACTATCAGTTCTTTTAGGTATCTGCAATGTTTCTAAGAGATGTTATTTAGTTTGCAAGAAGGAGGAGAGGCCAGGAAAGAGAAGAGATCGGGGTTGCCGAGCAAGATTTGGAAGTTGTTCAAGTATAGGTGTAACTAAAACCACACATGCTAATTCCTCAGATGATGGTCCCTGGTATTTCTACCGGCCACTCCACAGATCCAAACACCATACAGCCAGCAAACCAAGGGAGGAAACACACTGCAACATTGTATGAGTTCAAAGATGTTCTTTCACCTCGTAAAGACTGCACTCCTGCAGAAATTTTTCTTTTGGTTTAAAACTTTCCTTTCTTGGTGTAAGCCTGAGGTAAAATGTTAAGGAGCAGAAACACAAATGAAATATAGTTAGCTACTGCATGATTTCAGAAGTGGAGAGGAACAATACTAATGATAATATTATAAGTGCATAATTCTGTGTTGTCTTTAAATGAACTCTTTCTATAATTTCAAGACAAAAGAGTTCAATTACTATATAACTCTTAAAGATGCATTGGTTTATATTTCCAGAAATTAAGGAGAAAGTGTTTTTAGAAATGAGCTGATATCTTTGGGATTTTTAATCTGACACTTATCATTTATTAAGTTTTGAATATTTGTATTTAACAGAGCAATCTTTTCAAGGAAAAAAGCAATACTTTTTGAAATTGAGAAAGGAAGTAACTTACTTCTCTATGGGGCACACATGCTTTAGACTGACAGGACATCCATTCATGCTAAATTTAAGAACTCATTTCCTCAGATTTGAATGTTTTGAAATGGAAGTCGCATTGATTAACTACCAAAGACTTCTTTGTAGTAAGTATAAAAAGAGGCCATCTGTCTCGTCTGTTATGAAACTGCGCACATTTACAACTCAGCTTTTACTCCAAAATAATCAAAGTTGAGCAGTATAAGCCTGGAATGTTATTAATTCTCAATGGGTATAATAAATTGAGAAATTAACTTTCCAACACGAATACTAAATAACTTTTCTTCTAGGCAGAAAATTAATTTGATAAGATCAAAACACATATGGAAAGCATAGTCTAGTGGTTTGAGGTTCAGACATAAAGCCAGAAGGCTCTGTCATTGATTTGCTATGCTTAAGAATGCTCCAATTTCACCATGCTCAGTCTGCAAATTTATAAAGTGAGAAATATAACACCAAACAGGAGCTAAACAAAGATTAATGAGCTATTGGCCCTGAGTAGAATCCTGATCATCTTAAAAGCAATGAAAACAAACAAAAAGTTCATGTCTCCCTCAAAAAAATCAGGGACTTTATAAAACTACATAATACTATTTTGTTATATTACAGTATGTATATAACTTATAAATTAATAAAAATTACAAAATGGGCCCTCTCTGTGAGAATAAAACCACTATTTGCTAAGCAAGTTAAGGATCAACTGGGTACTTCTGCTCTATCAATGTCGCCTTTTCCAAATCACTTTTATTGCCCTTGACACAGACACTTCAAAATCTCTTTTTTCATCAGGTACTGATACTGGCAGTACAAACACACTCAGTAATAAGTCCAACTTCACAGACCTCTCCAAGTTTGGGATATTGTAATGCTGTTCTCTAAGACAGACCCTAAAATGGTATTATTTACTGTAAATTGTTCCAAAGTTTTTGTTGTTACAATCTTGTATGTATTGCTCATCAATTGGGATATGTCCTAAGAAATATGTCATTGAGTTTGCCATTATGCAAACATCATAGATTATACTTACACAAACTACAATGACTACAATGTCATTAGGCAATATAAGCTGATAGGACTACCCTTGCATATGCAATCCATCATTGATCAAAACATCACAGAGCGTGACTAAATTTATTTCCATATTGCTGTGTGATGAAGAGACAAATTATTATCACTGTCTAGAATCTCAATCTGACACCAGCTCACATTTTTTAAATGGACCAACATTTTAAATTTTTAGGCATTCTGTCACCTTACCCATCTCAAAAAACAATGAATAGGAAAGGGCTTGCCTGAATTGTATGTAACATTTATTACAGTGTCTGTAAAACAGTACAGTGCATAAAAAAGCTTGCTGAACTGAAGCATTCAGTTAAATAGGTGTTGGTCTGTCTTAAGAAAATTATGACAAGTATGAAATTACAGTATTTACAGTATCGACTGCATTTACCAGAAGTGGGGGCGACACTGATTATATTTTTATCAAATAATCAAAACAGCCAGATTTTATTTAGCTATTTCTCTTTGGCCTGGTAAGCTTACCATGCTGCATGCATAGAAGACAGAACAAGGCTAAATAACATTTTACTAAACAAAGCTTTGTTCCCAAAGCTAATGTACAACTCTGTGAGTTCTGGTTACTTAAGTAGTTCTTTTTTCCCAAGCCAGATCACCTTGACTGAGTTAGTTCTGTTTCTTCTAACTGTAAACTAGACTCGCAGGTCTCAATACTATGATGTAAAGATCATACCCATCCCAGCAACTTTCATAGAAAGACAGTGAAAATAGCTTTCCCCACATAATCCAAAATGACTCCCAAAATATTGCTGAAAGATGTTCAATCCCCAGTACTGCCAAAAAATAAATAAATAAAAATAAAATATATACTTCTGGGTCCTACTCCAACTTCTTAATACAGAAGGTCTCAGATAGGTCCAAACAATTTATATTTCTAACAAGTTCCCATACTAATGATAGCCATACTTTGAGAATCACTATCGTAGAGGTGAATATAAATGAAACTGTTTCACTTTCTGGTACATAGGACAGTGTGGTATAAAACAAAGACACCAGACATTGGATTTGAATAGAACAAAATTATGATCCTTGAACTATTTTTTTCTACTTGTGATCTAGCATCTTAAGTTTCTTTTTTTCTTTAAAATAAGATAATAATAGCAACTATTATAGCTATGTGATAAGGTTTAAATATAACAAGCCTACAATGCCTGACATAAAGTAGGTACTCAATAAATGTTGGTTTCCTTCTGTGCTGCAGCCCATCATCCTTTCTCTCCCAAAAATAAGTTTGTAGACATCATCAATAGCTATAGCAAGGTAGCAGGATATAAAATCAACATAGAAAAATCATTAGCATTTCTATACACTAACAATGAGCAAATGGAAAAAGAATGTATGAAAATCAATTCCATTTAGCAATACGCCTCAAAAAAAACTCAAAATACCTTAGGTGTACCTAACAAAAGATGGAAAGACTCTACAAGGAAAACTATACACTCTGAAAGAAAGAGATTGAGAAAGACTAAAAAAAGTGGAGAGATCTCCCATGCTCATGGATTGGTAGAATCAACAATATAAATGTGTACCCCAAAAGTAATCTATCATGTTAATGCAATTCCCCATCAAAATTGCCAATGACATCTTAAAGAGCTTGAATTCTATGTTAAATTTATATGGAAACACAAGAGCCACGATAGCCAAGGCAAACCAGTTTCAAAAGAAAATGCAGAGGATCAAATACCCTGACGTTCAAAGCTATATTACAAAGCAATAAATAAACAGCATGGTACTGGGCACAAAACACATGAAGAACCAGTGGAACAGAATAGGGAAATCCAGATAAATGAGCCACCAACTAGAGCAACTTATCTTTGACAAAGGAAGCTAAAAATATACGATGGAAAATAGCAAGCCTCTTCAAAACAAAACTGCTGGGAAAACTGTTAGCAGTCTGCAAAAAACTGAAACTAGATCCATGTATATCACCCTATACCAATAACTCAAATGGATCAAGGATCTTAATATCAGACCCAAACTCTTAAATACAAGAGAGTAGGAAATACTCTGGAGTTAGTAGGTATAGGTAGAACTTCTCAATGACCCCAGCAGCACAGCACTAAGAGATAGCATAGATAAATGGGACCTCATAAACTAAAAAGCTTCTGTTCATCAAAAGAAATGGTCTCTAAACTGAAGAGAACACCCACAGAGTGGGAGAAAATATTGCCAATATACATCAGACAAAGGCTGATAACCAGAATATAAGGGAACTTAAAAAACTAAATTCTCCAAAACTAATGAACCAATAAAAGAAATGGGCAAGTGAACTAAACAGAACTTTCTCAAAAAGAAGAAATTCAAATGGCCAGAAAACACATGAAAAAATGCTCACCATCTCTAGCAATAAAGGAAATGCAAATTAAAACCACACTAAGATTCCACCTCACCCCTGTTAGAATAGCCATCATCAGCAACACCACCAACAACAGGTGTTGGCGAGGATGTGGGGGAAAAAGGAACCTCTACACTGTTGGTGGGAATGTTAGACTAGTACAACCACTCTGGAAAAAAAATTTGGAGCTACTTAAAAGATGGACATTGATCTACCATTTGATCCAGCAATTACCACTCTTGGGGATATACCCAAAAGAACACTGTTACTCCAGAGGCACCTGCACACCATGTTTATTGCGGCACTATTCACAATAGCCAAGTATGGAAACAGCCAAGATGCCCCAGCACTGACGAATGGATTAAGAAAATGTGGTATCTATACACAATGGAATTTATGCAGCCATGAAGAAGAAACAAAATGTTATCATTCGCTGTAAATGGATGGAATTGGAGAACATCATTCTGAGTGAGGTTAGCCTGGCCCAAAAGACCAAAAATCGTATGTTCTCCCTCATATGTGGACATTAGATCAAGGGCAAACACAACAAGGGGATTGGACTATGAGCACATGATAAAAGCGAGAGCACACAAGGAGGGGTGAGGATAGGTAAGACACCTAAAAAACTAGCAGCATTTGTTGCCCTTAACGCAGAGAACTAAAGCAGATACCTTAAAGCAACTGAGGCCAATAGGAAAAGGGGACAGGACTAGAGAAAAGGTTAGATCAAAAAGAATTAACCTAGAAGGTAACACCCACGCACAGGAAATCAATGTGAGTCAATGCCCTGTATAGCTATCCTTATCTCAACCAGCAAAAACCCTTGTTCCTTCCTATTATTGCTTACTCTCTCTACAACAAAATTAGAATAAGGGCAAAATAGTTTCTGCTGGGTATTGAGGGGGGGGAGCAGGAGGGGGTGGAGTGGGTGGTAAGGGAGGGGGTGGGGGCAGGGGGGAGAAATGAACCAAGCCTTATATGCACATATGAATAATAAAAGAAAAATGAAAAAAAAATCACCATTTAATTTCTGTTGGCATTGATAATTTTTCTCAAGTAAAACATATCTAGGCTCACTCACTTTTTATAATTTTTGGTTTCCTATCAGAATGTATAAGCGTCCCAAATCATTATTTCTTTAGCTTATAATCTGAGCTACTACTTACATTGAAATACAACAAAAATGGAATATAAGCA